CCCTGAGCTGGAACCCTGAGCCGAACCCTGAGCTGGAACCCTGAGCTGGAACCCTGAGCTGGAACCCTGACCCGAACCCTGAGCTGGAACCCTGAGCTGGAACCCTGAGCCGAACCCTGAGCTGGAGAACATGGACTGATTGCAAGCTGCAGACGCCAGCGGTGGTCTCTGTGAGGACCCTGATGTTATTGATCTGTAGGGTCTGGATCAGTCGGCCGTTTGATTGAGAGCATGGAGTCCTTTACTCTGAAGTTTTACTTTTATTTTCTGATTGAATTGATCAGAGGTTTGATCCGTAAACATGGATCAGAAGTTCCTGGTTCGGTCCAGAGATGTTCAGTTTACAGTCGGAGGAAAGAACCCAGAGAACCTTCAGACTGAAGGAGCTGAACCCAGTGTTCTGACTGATTTTATTATTCAGACCAACTCATTGCTGATCAGAACCACTGAATTGATTAATTGATCAGCTGCAGCTCTGAGAAACACCAATGAAACCGGACAACGTTTGTCATCTGCTCATGAAGATGAATAAAGCTTCTGGTACCGAACACTGTCAGGACTCGGAGCTAACAGGCTAGTAACGGCAGTCCCCCGCTAAACCCAGCTGTGGTACCGGTGACCGGTACCGGTACCGGTGAGAGTCCGAATCAGACGGAGTCGGTTTGAATTCTTTCTTACCTTCAAGTCAGACGTTCAGCTCCAGCTTCTTCTGCTTCTTCAGCTTCTTCTGCTTCTTTACCAAACCGACACACGCTTTAAACCTTTAAATGGCGGCGCTGCCTACGTGCGTCTTTCAAACGGACCAATCAGGGTGCGCGTCGTCTCCGCCTCCTCAGCGCTGATTGGCTCAGAGCAGGAAGACGCAGTGGGCGGGGCCTCCTGCTGATATGTTTTGAACGTTGAAGACTGTTTTTGTCACGTGGCTGAAAATAGATTAAAATCCAGTTTCCTGGAATTAACCGAAAAATCTGTTTTTAATCACAAAAAAACAGAACAGCTGAATAAAAACATGAACTTTAACGTTCTGAGTTTAAAAGGCACCAAAACAAAGAGTTTAAAAGCTGAAGGAAGGACTCAGCAGCTGGTCTTCATGAACACGTGCTACTCCCACAGGAGCAGTTATTTATTCACTTATTTAAAAAGCCTGAAGGGAATCTGCTTCTGCCTCAGGGTCACCTTTTAATTCAAAAGTCTAAAAACGTTGTTTTTTGTGTTTAATCCCAGTTTGTTCTGAAGTCCTGGGCTGCACAGTGGTCATCAGCGAGCACATCGCTGCTTACCTGGCCAGTCTAAGTGTCTGTTAGTCATGCAGCTCTGTGACAGACTGGTTACCTGTCCAGGTGAACCTGCCCCGAGTGGGCTGGGATAGGCTCCGCCCCCTGCTGCCCCAGTGAGGATGAGGGTGTAGAGATGAAGACGTCTCTTCATTGTTACTTCATTTATTCTAAAGTACCATCATGGTATCTGACAGAAAGCTCCACATTCATCCTGATGAACGGCAGGAAGCAGCTCCAGAGGAAAGTCTCTGCTGTCGGTAACTCTACCAACAGTTGGATCTAATTCACACGTCTGTAAAAGTTTGTCTGTGGAGTCTGATTACACCCATAAAAACTCATCAGTCACATACTTAGAATGTTTCCATGAAAACAAACTCTTCCTGCTTTGAATCGATCTGAACGTCCACTTCTCCTAAATCACACTGTTAATCAAGAACTTTACACCCTGACCGGGTCGGGTCAGGTCGGGGCAGGACAGCTGCTGTGGACTCTCTCACATTAAACCCAGGCGTCTGGAATCAAAGCTTTATTGCTGAATATTATATTAAACATTGCAGTCAGGATACAAGTCACCTGAAAACAATTATAGTGCATCAATTATGTTACAATACACAGTAAAGCAGACGGCATCCATTTACACTGAAGCAGAGAGTTTACAGGAGCAATAAGAAAAGAAACGAACCAGAAGCACGTTTATCATCCACTCAATAATCATCCAATCAATCATCCAATCAATCATCCAGTCAACACACACACACACACACACACAGCTGTCACTTCTTTGTTCCGGCAGAATAATGATTTTACTACAAAATTAAATAAAGTATAAAACAGAAGTGAAGCACTTTGTGTTTCTGAAGTCGCTGCTGCTGCTCAGAGTTCTGGCAGAACCTCTGAATGTACCTTAAACCTACTGCAGAGAAACTGATACAGGGACCGGAGAGCCCCGAGTGTGGTCCACAAACACAGAACATCAGCCCGTCTTCCACTGCAGGAACCTTCACACCTGGACCCGTTAGTGTTCTGACCGCAGGAACCGGCCCTGTGGAACCTCAGCCCAGAACCTCTGTGTGGAACCGGCCCTGTGGAACCTCAGC